TAAGACGAAAACAATAAAATTGGGAAGGTTGTTGACTTCCAATATATTGGACGAAACATAGTAATATTTTATTTTATCGTATTTTAATAATGAGTCTCTATGTAGGACGTCCAGGTGGCAAATTTATTGCGAAGAAAATGCATTTTATTTTACAATAGATGTCGCTAGGTGCGCTGAAATGTGATTCATGTAAGTTGATTTTTCTGAGAGATAAACTTTTTAATGTAATATAAATTGTCATGTTTGTGAACGATAGCGCAATAAATAAATATTGTATTTTACCACATAAATGATAGTACTTTTATGCTGATAATAATTAAAGCAATTCGTGCAAAATTATTCCCTAACCATTCCAAAATATCAAAAATGCACAACGTTAATATTCAAGTTTTCACTTCTGCCGATACTCCCGGAGTGCAACCCGTCGCTTTTTTTATTGCTATTATTATCACGATCATTATCAACAAGAAAAAGAGGCAGGGTTCTATTTTACTTATTTATTAATTTTTAAACTTTGTTGATCAAAAATACACAAGAATAAACGGACTTAATGCGAACTTAATGCTAATAGCATTATTTCCTAGTTAAACTTTGGGAAAAGCGACTATATTCTTTCTTTAGTCTCTTTATTATTTTGATGGCTTCAATCCACATATAATAACGCTTATCCTAGAGTGAGTTATAATGTTTACTGCACTTACCTTTTGTTCTTACCCACAGTAATAATATAAAATGAGTCAACTAGCATGTCAGTAACATTTGAATTTTGTTCTGGAGATAAGGGAAACCCCAAAAATAGACATATAGTAGTAAAAAAAATTAAGGGGTGAAACAGGAGATGAAAACATGAATGAGAAATCAATTATTGAACACAGAAAAAGTCTCCCGAAGTTTCGTTATTATAAAACCTAAAATAAATACTTTCTCAGGGTAGTGTTTTGGGCCCACTTTGATTTGTCCAGCTTTGTTTAATGTCCTAGAAAAACTATCTAATGTATCAATGTTTAACAACATCTCACAATCTTTTTAATTGTAATATATTGAATATATCATGCTATTAACATATCATCCCACGTTTAATTAAGACCATAAATCACACATATTACTAACCATCTCATTACTAGAGCATTAAACTAAATAAAGACACGCGAATGTATCAAACCAATCACAACCAAAGTTAAATTAAAACGGACACGTATATTAGAGCTCCTTATACAAGCCGTTAATATCATATTTAAAATATTCTTTACTTACTTAAGATGACTTTATCATGTCAAGTTTAATGGTCAGAGGACCGAGGCCAGAGGAGTCTAGTTTGGGTGTATAATATTAGATTTAAATTTGTTATTATCTTCACGTTTAGGAATTCTGTTTTAAGCAATGGTCATTGCTTTTTGACTAAAAACAGTTTACAGTTTTCTAAGCAGTTCAGTTTTACTTATTTTAAGTCGTGTACAGTGTGTAGAAATATCTAACATACAAGGTAAAGATAGGATATCTGTTACGTCCAAATATAGACAAAATCCATGCGGTGTACCACAAGGGAGTGTTCTGGGACCTCTACTCTTTCTGCTTTATATTAACGACTTGCCAAACATTACCGACCAAAAATGTATTTTATTCGCCGATGATATTACCCTAATTATAAGTGATAAAGATGGCATAATAGAAAATAAAGCAAATACAGAATTAAAGAAAATAGCACAGTGGTTGAAAAATAATAATCTTATAATAAATGTAAATAAAACAAAATTTATACATTTTAAAACAATTAATAGCAAAAATGATAAAATTAATATAAATGTGAATAACCAACCTATAGAAGAAGTAGATAACACAAAATTTTTAGGAATCACCTTAGACAAATTCTGTAACTGGAAAGCTCATATTGACTCTGTAACGGTTAAGCTTGATAGATTTATATATGCTCTTAATAGAATAAGAGAGATAGCATCGCAACAATCGGCACTCATAGCTTACCATGGTTATGTGTCATCTGTGTTGCGTTATGGTATAATACTGTGGGGAAATTCAGTAGATGCAATTAAAATCTTTAAAATTCAAAAAAAATGTATACGTTCACTTTGTGGTGCAGGTTATTTAGACTCGTGTAAGCCCTTATTCAAATTGCTTGGAATACTGCCAGTTCCATGTTTATATATTTTTGAAATGGCAGTGTTTGTAAAAAAGTATTTTCACTTATATCAGAAAAAAAAAGATGTTGAATATAGAGGTAGAAAAGGGGACGATTTATGTGTTCCAATCCAAACTCTAATGGTATTTTCTAAAAATGCATATTGTATGTCCATTCGTATATTTAATAAGTTACCTTCAAATATAAAAAAAATGACTTTAACCAAATTTAGGACTGAATTATTTTCATTTTTAATTAACAAAATGTATTATTCAGTTAACGATTTTTTAAATGATAAAATAGCCTAATTTAATGTATGTTTGACATTCGTGTGTATTTAATATAATAGTTTAAAATATGTAGATGATAAATATATGTAATTTTTTGACATTTTAATTCAATTAGATTGCAATTTTTCTTGACTATTTTAATAATGAATAGATTGGTAGTTGTAATTTTTGTGACATTAATTTTTCTTGACTATTTTAATAATGAATAGATTGGTAGTTGTAATTTTTGTGACATTGAATATTATTATTACCTTTAAATTAATTTTATTTATTTAGACGTAGTAGACCTTATTGATGTAAATTTCCTGAAATATTTGCACGTTGACATTCAACAAAATATGCTGGTAACTAAAGAAATATGTAACAACTATTGTAACCATATTTTGGCAAATAAATTATTATTATTATTATTTTGTTAATGTCTGAAACAATAAAAAATCTCGGTACAAACTACACGTTTTCATGTCGCACACCTGTTTCCTATTTGTCAGGAAACGTCGTCGATTACCACAGCGGACGTTACGCAACGTTGCGCCACACGATGAGACATTTCAAGAGTCGTTTGCACATTGTGGTGTGCTGAATATTCATGGACTGCATTTGCGTAGTACGACTACCGACAACACGAACTTGGTTAATTACCATTTCGATTCATGTTTGATAATTTAAGTATTCATTCCAGAATACGTAGTCATTCATTCCAGAAGTCGTCACTAGCTTTGAGATACATAGCTTTTTAGAGCTTAGTGGAGATTATTTATTTCTTAGGTTTTCACGCACATCTTCTTTCTTCTTATATTAATAAAAAAGAAAAGTTTGATTCCGACGACGTAGCCTGTAAAGGCTACGAAACGTCAATAAATAAATAAAGTTTCGTGCATTAACCCGTAAAAACTAGTTTTATTTAGTGGAGATTGTTGGACAAAAAAGTCCTGTGGGGATCCAACATTAATACAATTAACAACAAAATAACACAAATTATTTCCCCTTCTTATTGTGTACAAACTATTAGACAGATTGACTATTAAGGGAAAGTTGTGAAACTCTTAATGCGGTAGAAAAAACGATCACAATATTTTCGTAGAAGGTTATTTTTATTAATTTAGCCATTGCAACTTTTAATGTATTATGACGCTCTTGTTATTTTATAGCTAATTCTTAAGACTTGCATTAACTTCATTTTCGAAATATAATCGGAAACGTTGTCTGAATTAGCTAGTATCAGATAACTCAAAATTCACAACACAAGTCCAAGTTCACAGTTTTCGCGATAAAATAATATTGAACCCATATACCATAATGTCGTGGATAGTTATAATTCTGTTCTGACATTTGAAGGCGTGGGCACATATTAACTTGTGTTAATATTGACACACTCCTAACGGAAGTCATCTAAGTGAAACTGGTGTAAGTACTTATACTTTATTACGTAAGGAGGAAATAACACGCATAGTGAAAACCTTTTTGTTTTCTTCGTAGGTATACCAATCTTCGGCGTGGTTGATTCCAAACAAGAAGTGCACGTCTTTGTCACCGGCAAGGAGGCACATCCTGGAGTTTTAGTGGGAAGGGTCCCTCATTCCGAGCAGCTATTGAGCCAGCCTTACGGTTGGCTGAATGGTTAGGCGGGGGTTAGGGGGATAGTCAGCTCTCATCATCATCATCAGCTTATTAATGTCCCCACTGCTGGGCCACATGCCTTCCACATTGATGGAATAGGGAAATTGGGTCGTGACCTACCACGCGTGCCCATTGCGGATCTTAGCACCCAGCTAAGAACTCCAGATGCCACCGGGACCAACGGCTTAACATGCGTTCGAAGTACGCAGGAGCTCGAGTTTTTGGTCACCTATCTATCTGACCCCTGTCACACAGGTCTTTATCCTATTATAGGGGTCAGGGACTACATTATAAACCAGTATTGTAATCAATTTATGTGACAATAAATAAATTATTATTATTACCTATCTAATGTAATAACCGACTATTACAGAAGTTGCTTAAGTTCCACGATCGCAAACCGAACACGCTAACCACATGCACTATCGAGCTCATTCAATCAGCTACACATTATCATAATAATTATCTGTCTTTGAATATGCGTACTATGAAATGAAATGAAAAATCTTTATTGGCCATTGTATATAAGAAACAGAGAAAAAAAATATATAAAAAAGAAACTTAACCTAAGAACAAAAATTAATCACTAGATTTAAGACGGCCAATCAGGACCCTGCCTCAGCTTATGCTGATACAATGAGAAAATATTCTTTCACTGTATCAGCGCTGGTATTCTGGCAGGGCCTGTGCGAGGACGTGTTACTACTAAAGCACATGCCTTCCTTGTGGTTTAAAAATGGGCAGATTGGGACCCACCAAGTAGCCCCAGTGCACATTGGTGAATCCCAAGGACTGCAGACGCAGACCCCAACAGCTTAACGTGCTTTGCGAGAGTGGAGAAGCTTGTTTTTCTTTTAAATTCTCTTCCACTATCGAAGGCTGAATGTCCTACCTGTAGTTCCTGCAGCTACACTGTAAATAAAGCTTTATTAGCTTAAACATATGTTCTGTTCCAGAGTGCGGTGTTCCCCTGAGGAGGCACACCAGACAGCCAAGGGAGCGTTCCGCGGGCCAGCTGCGCATCATCAGGGGGAGGGAGTCCAAGAGAGGAGCGTGGCCTTGGCAGGTATCAGACCTATGCTGATAATTATTCTTTAAGGTAGCTCACCAGACAGCCACTTGAGCGCTCCGCGGGCTAGCTGCGGATCATTAGTAGGAGCCAGTCCAAAGAGAAGCTTTGGCCTTGATGGTATCAGAGCTTTGCTAAAAAATCATTCTTTAAGGAGGCACACCAGTTAGCCACGTTAGCGCTCCGCGGGTAAGCTGCGTATAATCGGGGGAAGGAATCCAAGAGAGCAGCGTGGCCTTGGCAGGTATCAGACCAACTAAGACATTTGCTGATAAACATTATTTAAGGAGACAAACCAGGCAACGGCACGAGCTCTTCGCAGGTCAGCTGTGCATCATCAGGGAGAGGGCGTCCAAGAAAGTAGCAATGCCTTGGCAGTTATCAGACCTTTTCTGATAATCATTTAAATAAAGGATGTGTCAAAAGCCAAAGGGAGAGACAAATATTTACTTATACAAAATTAAGACTCCACTACATTCGATACAGGAGCCTTCAAAATTAATATCGCAGATCCTTTACTTGACGCAGCCAAACTTGTTCATGGTACGATCAATAGCTTAACTTAATGACGAGACTGACGTTTTCTTTATACAAGTTTATAAATTTAATAAAGAACGTAAAGGTGTCAATATGTAAAGGAAAATCTTTTATACCCCTTTTGAAGCATAGTTTGCACTCAGAGAAATGCGACAAAGAGTGTAACACTAATATCTTTATATAATCTCAATGACTTTTTAGTTATAATTTCAGAAAAACGACAAAATTTCGCAATGACTGTTGAAGCAGCCAGTATTGAAGATTTAACAAACACCCATAAATTTCACGATCTATCTAACGTTACATTGCATGCCAGGATATCCCATATTCTGTCTGATGTTTTCCAGGTATCCTTACAACTCCTGCACCCCAACTACGGGCTGATCGGCCACTGGTGCGGAGGGGTGCTGGTCCACCCCCTGTGGCTGCTCACCACTGCGCACTGCATCCATAAGTATTCAACACTTTTATCGTAAGAAAATCTTACTAGAAAAAAATCCACGGTTTCAGCTGGGATTCGAACTTTCGATAGAGGAAGCGGGTGTGAATCCTGGCATTCAACGTAGCGTTAGATTCGAATTCGCATCTCAATCAAGATGTGGGTTCGAATCCCGTCTGAAACCTGGACCGAACCGAGTGGAAATTTTTCTAGTAAAAATTTCTTTAGATTCAAACATCTAGTAGTTTAAATGCTTAAAAAAGAAAAACAAAATAAAAACATCACAATTAGAAAATTGTATAGGATCACAGCAGCACACAGATACAGTCAGCCTAAATTCGTAACTTGGGACAATAGGCCAGTCATTAAAGCCTTAAACCCGTAAATAATTAGTAACTTGCTGAAATTTTGAGGTTTTTCGAAAGAAGGTAACTTACCGGGTGATTTTGCAGCATTCTGGGGTGTACGGAAAGGGTTGAAAAGGGGTGAAAAGTGTTTTTTGTTAATAAAATTGCCAAAAAAATTAGTAACACGCTGCAAATTTACAATAAGATGGTTTTTACCGTTTTGTAACGTGTATTAAATTTGCAGCGTTTTGCAATATACGGAACATTGTTTATTATTAAAAAAACAATGAAAATTGTTAATAACATGGGTAAAAGAAATAGTAACACGCTGCAAATTTGCAACATACGGAACATTATTTATAAACAATAAACGCTGCAAAATCACCCGGTAAGTTATTTTACCTTCTTTCGAAAACCCTCAAAATTTCAGCAAGTTACTAATTATTTCCGGGTTTAAGGCTTTAACGACTGGCCTACAACTAATAAAGTAAAACTGCCAACAAATACTAAAATTTAGATTTGTGTTCATAACTTTATCACATAGAAAAAAAACTGAATTTAATAAGGACAATTATATGCCTATCGGTCGTTAAGCTAGGTGTTAATATGAGAGTGATATTTGTTTATCTGATGGTGCATTTTATCATTGACGATCTGCCAAAAACTATAAAAGGTATTATGTAAATCGATGGCACAAGTGATTATCACGTTCCTTCTTCGACGGTGAAAGTTCAATCAATCAATCCATTATTTATTTGTGGCACATAGGTTATAATGCTAAATTTTACTATAAAGTCCAACTATGTTTAGCCCTCAGACATACAAATATTAACAAAGTTAAGCAATTTTTGTAATGGTCGCTAATAGGATGGGAGATTATAAAATTTACCTCAGTATAAATTTACCTGTAGCTCCTCCGTCCTTTAGAAGGCACGTTAACCCATTGTCCCTGGCTGCATCTGCAGTCGTTAGCACTCACCAATCCGCACTGTTTCTATGTGGTGAGTTGAAGTCTTCCTCCACTTATGGGGTTGCCTGTGCCCTAGCAGGGAGGACGTTAAAAGGCTGATGATGATGGTAATGTACTTATGTATTGTGATTCCAGTGAGCTGTTCAACTTGCCAGTCCCAGCGCTGTGGACAGCGGTGCTGGGAGAATGGGATCGGGCGGAGCAGCGAGGCGCTTACGTCCCCATAGAGAGGATAGTGCTGCACCACCGGTTCCATAACTACCAGCATGATATAGGTAATATGATATCAAATAACATCAAATTCAATGATAAAGAAAAGCTTAAGATAGAACAATAGCTTAACATATGAAAAAATCGGTGTAAATAGAATAACGATAATAGATATTAAGTAGGGTATTTGACAGTATTAAAAATAAAGTGCCATTTGTTAGCATCTATGTTTAGAATGAATATTGGCAGGGGTTTTTACTATTTTTGCAAAAAAAAATATTCATAATTTTACTAAAAACCCACGAAAAAGATAATAGTTTCCGGTTCAAGTGACATTACATTGTATCGTATGACGTTTTTAATAACAGTCGTGTGACGTCACACACTAGTAAGACGCCATATTGTTCAGAGAAACGTTTTCGCGGCAAATTGAAAATGGAGTTTTCCATTTGATTATTTTTACTGAAATACACAACAGAATGATGAATATCCACTCCGGACGGACTCCATAAACATTAGTCAATAACGTGAGATCGTTTTCTAAAACTTGTCAAATACCCTATTACTGCCTACATTCAAATTTTGGGAACTGTTAAATGTTTATTGGTTATCAAAAATAAGCGAACTTTATAAAATTAATTAAGTGCTCCCGTTAAAAGATTTAAGTAATTTTAAGAAATGAATAGACACAACCCATACAGTTGTCAGTTTAAAGCATACATGCATGCATTTAAATGCCTGTTTGACATTATTTGAGGCTTATAGAGCCAAAAAGAAAAGTTGTTTAAAAAGATAATCTTTAAAAATACAACACAACAACGAGAATGCGAAACAAATCAACTATTCGGCGTGAAATTTGAAGCTGTGTTTCAAACAGGATGCTAAGATTATTAGTAATGAACAATAAAAGTTTTTAATATTATGGTTTGTGTGTGCAAAAAATGATACAAGATATTTACATATAATGATAGTAATTAGTAATACGTGTTTTTAATAATAATCATAAAAAATATTCATTTCAGCCCTCATGAAGATGACTAAACCAGCAGACGTCAGTGCAGGGAGCAAAATTCGGACCATTTGCCTACCTCCATTTGTGTCTGCTGCGAATTTAGACGAACAAAAAATCTCCGGATTTTATTCCCGACCAGCGCCTAGTGAACCGCCAAAAAGGAAAACGACGAAGCCTTCCAAACCTAAACCTGATACAGCCGTTAAATATCTGGAGAAGCTCAATAATTTAACTAAGTCTGTTTTCTCTGGATTAACAAGCAAGAAGCACAAAAACTTAAGGTACAATGTGAGAGTAGCCAACGATTCCAATAAACAAACGAACAAGGACACTAAGGACGAAGAATTATACAAAAGTGATGATGACAACACAAAAAGTGATTTAGTGTATGATAGTGCAACTTTAGATAGCGTTGTGAGATTAATACGGAATCAATTATCTAGAGCGATGCGTGTAAATCTAAATGAGAGAAGTGATAAAAAGTTGATGTTCGGTGAAGAAATAGACCCGTTTATTGATAACAATAATGCGATAGACTTCAAAGACGAGTGTTATGCGACGGGTTGGGGTAGGGAACAGACAAATGGGACTTTGACAGACGTTTTGTTAGAAGCCGAAGTGCCAATACTACCGCTGAGGATTTGTAGAGATAAGTATTCCCTCACTTTGCCGTTGAATGAGGGGCACCTGTGCGCTGGTAGCACAGATGGCAGTACGGGAGCATGTGTGGTAAGCGTAAAAATGTATTTATCATTACATTATGCTTGCGACTTCATAAATTTGATCTCAGAATCGTCAAAAAATCTTGTGTACTTGTTCTAATTAATCTAGTTTATAGTATGTAGTAAAAGCGAAATCTTACAGTATTTTGAGTCTCATAACTTAAGCACGAAAAACAAAGCATATGATTTGAAACGAAAGTCGGCGTGTGCAATTCAAAATCATATAACAAGAGTAGGTATTATTATAAATGACATGCCTACAAGGAAGATCGGTATTTTATCTCCGATCTGATACATTGAACAAGTGAAGGAATCAAATATGATCTGATAAAAAAATCTTGACACGACTATTAGAAACTCGCGTTTTTATTTTGTTCCATTGTTATTTTAGTTACATAAATTTTTGTACGGTTATAGTTGAGTTTGTTTTTTTAGGTAAATTATTGCAGTAATATTAAGTGATGATGACGGGTTAAAGTAAACGCAATTATTTTAAGTCCGTCAGTTAGATTATCTTAAAATAATGGATACCTACTTTTTCTTTTGACATTCAACCAAAAAATTACAAAGATAAAGCGCGACAAAGTTTGGGTGTGGGGGCTCGTGAGTAAGTAATTGTAAAGGCACTTTTTAATAAAATTTGAACTACGAAAATGTTACGTCGTATGATATTTCAAATCAATAATTCTTTGTAATGCTTTAACTATGTAAAATACTGAAAATAGTGTCCGATACTTTTAAAAATCGTGATAGGCGAAGAAAATAAAATAGTCATCTTCCTCGGTAGTTATATATTTGCATACTAAAAGTGCGTTTGTTTTATTCTTTTGTGTATCTGTTTAATAAACTTGCATTGCAGTCCCAAAATTTCAAGTTCTTGATACCTATTTTGAAGTTACGGTAATTCGTCATCATAGGCTATGGCTTTGCGATTAGGAAATAGTATTCATTATTTTTCTGTGTGTTTTATAAGGCCAATTAAGGCACTCTTATAATTGACTGACAGGGAATCTAGCGAAGCATGATATTTTTCGAAAACCATTCAATTAACCTCATCATGACTAAGGCTTAGCGGGTTTCCCGTTTAAATTAGATGATCATAGATCTATCAAGAGAGTTATTTCGGCATATAACTTTCTGCTGTCAAATAATTTTATTTTGTACTTTTATGTCTACAATGTTAAGATCGCCAGAACTCCGCGCTAATCTAAAGCGACATGTATCTCTACCACAATGGTATCGATTCTGACATTATTCTCTAAACATAAACTTAAATTTGACAACAGTGCATCCTTGTCATTCTCTATACAGAATGAAAAAGAGAGACTGATGTTAAATTTAGTTTTAAGTTTAGAGAATCACGCCAGAATTGGCACTAATATTGCCTTAACACAACTGAACTTCAGTCTGAACTCCACCACTAATCAATCCCAGATAAGATCGAGTTATTTTCTGGTCCTAGTATAAAACACAGAAATTCTTAGTAACTGAACTTGTCTCACCTGTTACTACCAGATAAGATCGAGAAATTTGCTAGTCCGTCTATGAAATAAACCTCATCATATTTCAGGGAGACAGCGGAGGTCCTCTCCAGTGCAGATCTGGCGGTCGCTGGGAACTCCGAGGTCTGACCTCATTTGGGTCCGGCTGCGCTAGGAGAGGCGTCCCCGATGTCTACACCAACGTAGCTCACTACGTGTCTTGGATATACGCTCACGTTTATGCCACGTAGATTTCTGATGTACAAGTGTTATTTTGGGCATTCCAGCTTTGTATGAATAAGCTCGTATTCTGATATCAATAGGGGACAAATGTTTAGTCTTGTATTGACAGATCTCCCTGTTACACCGTTATACGGTGTGGTACATCGTTATACGGTTAGTAATTACATAGTTTTTAACCGTAACCTGCGATGAACTCTTAAATGTACATAAAAATATTTGTTTTCGAAAATACGAGTACCTATAATATGTATTAATGCATTTCAAATTGCAATTGTATATGATAGTCTAAATAATACAAGTCAGCCAAAAAACTTATCTTCTGTACCCCTAGCATGAACCAATATCGAATTCGAATAGTTTGCGAGTTCAAAATGTGATTGTCGAATGTGCGGGCGCTGCTGTTCAAATTTCCATACAAAATTGCTGCTAGAGGTACTGATTTTCAATCATAACAAACATAAAGGTGTTATTACAATTGAAAATTCGTGAATAACATGTTAAGACAAAAGGTGACAAAATAACTTATCGTACTGAAGTTATATTTAAAAGACCTATAAAAAACAAAAGGCTTTTAATATAATTGTTACTTAATATTATAAGAAACAATTAAAAGTTCATTGTTAACTGTAACGCCGTAAAAGTTGCGCTATTTAAGTTGTTCAATCAGTGTAAATTCGTATCCACGTAGTCACTACGACTTTCGCTAGATGGCGCATATTTTTATTACATAATTATTATGGCGCAATTACATTTGGTCGTTTGGCCTTCATTTGGCTTTAATTTTATCTGTTACTAAATATTATAAGAAACAATTAAAAGTTCTTTGATATCTGTAAGGCCGTAAAAGTAGCGCTATTTAAGTTGTTCAATCAGTGTAAATTCGTGTCCACGTAGTCACTACGACTTTCGCTAGATGGCGCATATTTTTATTACATAATTATTATGGCGCAATTACATTTGGTCGTTTGGCCTTCATTTGGCTTTAATTTTATCTGTTACTAAATATTATAAGAAACAATTAAAAGTTCTTTGATATCTGTAAGGCCGTAAAAGTAGCGCTATTCAAGTTGTTCAATCAGTGTAAATTCGTGTCCACGTAGTCACTACGACTTTCGCTAGATGGCGCATATTTTTATTACATATTATGGCGCAATTACATTTGGTCATAAGCCTTATTCGGGTGCACGAAAGACATTACTCGAATTCGGTCATCCGAAGCAATATTTACACTGGAATACCGGCTGGAAGACGTTGTCGGGTAAAGAAAAGGATATCTACCCGAATATGGGCGCACTCGAGTCCGTTCATTTACACTCAGTTATTTACCCGAATTCCATTGGCACTCGTATTCGGGCTAATGTTCAAGTGTAATCGCGCCATTATTAAATGGAAATTTCTTGCCATTACCCGTATTACCGTAGAAGTGGTTTATTTTAAGCCTGCAAGGTCATTTAGTACCCCTAGCACGATCCAATATCAAATTCGTATCGTTTGCGAGTCCAAAATGTCATTGTCAAATGTGTACCTACTGATTTTTAGTTCTCGTTACGTACTTTGTGCCGCTGCTGTTCAAGTTATTTGAATTCGATAATGGTTCGTGCTAGGGGTACAGGACGAAGATTGAATATCTCGCCCTATGTTACATACATAGATAACATATGTTGTGTCAGGGCGAGAAACTGGCCAGCGTTGTAAAAGATCATCATCAGCAACCTATTAATGTCCCCACTGCTGTAGCAAAGTCCTTCCCTATGGATGGAATAGGGAGATTGGGCCATGACCCACCACGTGGGCCCAGTGCAGATTGGCGGGTGCTAACGACTGCATATGCAGCCGGGACCAACAGCTTGACGTGCCGTCCGAAGCACGGAGGAACTCGAGATAGAAAATTTTTGATCACCCATCCAATATCAGACCACTGCGAAAGTTGCTTAACTTCAACGATCGCAGCCGAACGCGCTAACCACCCGCGCCATCGAGCTCCTCCTCGTTGTAAAAGATACTTTAGTTTTTATAATGGCAGTGCAAGGCAGCCTCTGTAGTGCTGTCAAATTTTTGTCAATTGGCCCGTGATTACATCCTAAAGTAATAATAACCCGGTCTCTATTCTCTATTTAAGTATTGTTTATGTACCTCTGTTAATAATGTTTACCAGTTACCATTTCCTTTAATAGATTTTAATGAATATTTTATATTTAATAATCTGACACAGTGAGTATCTACAATTGGAATTTTAATGGGACCAATGAATATTATACAACAATCGATTACCAATATTTTGTAAATATGACATCTAGTCTTTTTTACTATAAGGAACATGTAGTATAAAAAATTGTAAATAAATAAATAAATATTTTGTCTAAAAGAGGGAAACTAAAGTATTTTATTATACTGCTCATTTGCAGCTGTAAGTTTTAATCCATGACCACTCAAAGACCTGTGATTAAATTAGTTTAGTTGTATATTATATATATTTCAGAATTATGTACATGTTCATATTCCGTTGCACCGAATGCACCATTCGTTTGCACCATTCACAGTGCAGATGAAACTGATTGGATACCTTTGCACCATAAATATGGAAATTCCTATTTCCCCTTTCTTTTTTCGTTATCAAAAATAATGTTAGTAAAACAAAGGAATATCGAATTAACAAAAAAAAAACAAATTCTCGTATAAGTGCATTAAAAGTATCACCCATTGTTATTACGAAAATAAACTCCAGTACTAAGGGTTAGTACGAGTTTGAGCTCACGAAAACTATCATAGTTTTCTTAATTGTAAATTATGTTTCTATGTCAATTTTGGTGAAAAGTAACCAAATAAATTTAAATTTTAAGAAGACACAAATGATTTAATGTTAGAATTTAAACACTGTTTATTTCTATTGAACCGAAAACAATAAAATCAGTACCCTTAATACGAGTGCGAGCTCACGAAAACTATCATTGTTTTCGTAATCGTAAAACTCGTACTAAGGGTAAACTCGTACTTTAAAGATAAATGTAATTTTCTTTATTACATTTATCTTTAAAGGTAAATTTCTAAATAGATAACCGCATTTATAGTTACTCATCATCACAATGGTGATGGCAGATGTCACTGTCTATGGGTAGGCACTGAGGTTCCTTTACCCCATGGTGCAAACGAAACTTATCAGTTTCATCTGCACCATTGATGGTGCAAGTGAATGATGCATTCGGTGCAAACGAGATTTTATAGTAATGCGATAAATTGTTAGTTTTAAATTTATTACAAGTAAGAAACATTATTTCTCTATTTTGTTATTATTTATGTTTTAAACTATTTAAATAAAATAATTTAACAGAAGAGGTATTTAATAATTTTTAAAACTTGTATTTTTTTCTATTCTTTTGTTTGCCTAACGGTAAATATTAAGGTGCGGAGATAATGGTGAAGTTACTTTATAACGTTTCCGAAAATCAGTTCGATACGCTTCTACTCTGCGCTATTTAGTATGAATTGACCCTTACAAATTGACTGCAGCTCTAAAAGCGCCTACTGACATGCCTGCCGCAGGGACAATCTAGGGTCCACGGCGGTCGGGCCAATATCGGCTTGTCACTACACACATGCCTACTATTCAATGTTCGGGCGTATGTTGAGCTAACCACACGCGTTGATGATGGTCCCAGTGTTATCAAAAATATGTTACCGTAAAAGAGGAAATACTGGGTGAAGAATTGGCAACAGAAAGAAATCTATTGTAAATAAGTAATGTTTATGTTATTAGAAAAAAATCCACGCGGACCTGGCAGTAGCCGGAGCTTGAACCCTTCGCTATCCGGGCGAATGCACTGATCAATTATGCTACCGCGGCCCCGACGGCCGTATCGAATTCTTTCTAGCCTTTCTAGAAAATTGCCCCAACTTGCCAACACACATCAAAATTCAGGAGGCAATTAAGGGTCATCCCCACTCTTACACCCTAGATTGTCCCTGCGGCAGGCATTTCAGTAGGCGCTTTAAAGATACTCTAAGACCTCCGCGACCACGGGTAACTGGAGCCGGGGTCCAAGTCTTAGTTAGAGACGCCTTCTAGTAGAGGCCTCCCCTTCAGGTATGAGTAGTCTAGAGGCTCTAGATGGAGAGGAGACTTCCCTAGACTCGGGTGACTGGAACACCTCTAGAGGCGCTTGGCAATACACTGAGGTCCCTTGACGATCTCGTCGCCAAAACCCCCAACTCGGTAACGCTGTAAAGGTCATCTGCGACTAACAGCATACACACACACACACACACACACACACACACACACTAAAAAAAACGTTTCCAGAGCTCCACAGGTTATGGGCAAGGCCAAGTACTTTCGTGGCATACCATCAGAATCATGACTTTTAGTCACCACATAAAAAAAAAGTCAACAATCGTATCAAAACGTCATGTTTATTACTAAGTGCACAAACAAATTAGGACACCAGGTTTCCATAATTAACAATAAATATTTACAATCACTTAAATTATTACATAGCTTATCGACATAACTAATATCACAATCGGTATAACATTATATTTACATTATATTACAAACTCATAAATATTATCATATATGTACGTAAAATTAGCAACATTTTCAAATAATTCAGACAAACACCATTTATGAATATATAAAAAAATACAATCATACAAAAATCCCTTACATTTTGTCACAAGTATATCTTGACCAAGGAGTCGATACAAATTTAACTATAGAATCTTTACCAATGATATTATTTACCATAGTAATTGCACAATTTGTTAGAAAAATAATTTACTACAACAATTTTCAAATTATTAATTACATTAAATATTACAAATTATTTTAACAAAACAATAAATTTTGTTTAGGAAGTATAATTTAATCGTTATTTTGTACATTAAAAATTAAGTTTAAAATATTAATGTATACTACAATTATAGGTACCAGTTAAGAAATGAGATGTTATTTAATAAATGAAACAAGATCAAAACTACATTTTAACTTTTATCTTGCTTAGAGTTAAAACAAAAGACTGTTGCAGTTACAAAGATTTTGTAAACATTAATCTCGCTAACATTGAATATGTTTATCTATCATACAACAATATTGTGCAATAGACATGAACTTGGAAAAGTAGCAACGACCCACTCTGCCCTTGCTTTGATGCCTCCAGTTGAGAGTTTAATTTTTACATGTTGTGAATTAACATGACCCTTAAATATGGTTCAGTAGGTTAGCCATTATTGGAACGGTTAATGCGGTTTCCTTGGAAGTGACATACGTAATAGCAAACTTTGAACTAAAACTAAGAATCTTGTGTAACTGTCAAGTAATGAATATACAAATCAGTTGAGGAATTTCGAAACCTTCCAACTCGGTGTTTTATATTGGCAAATGATAACTTAGAAACATCATTTAGATAGCTTATTACGGGGGAGTTTGATGAAGCAGTAGTTAACGTGTTCGGTCTGTTACCATGGAAATTAAGCAACTTTCGTGATGATGGCCGTGACTGAACTGCTTGGGGTTTTAAACTTTAAATTCATGCGGGCTATTTAAACTTTACGGCTCTATATATAGGTCATTTCGCCAAGTTAATCTATGGTTAAACTTTTTAATACAAAAGTAGGCTATAACTATCACAAAAAACGGCTTTATAGTACCGTGGGTAGCGCGCCCCGATCGGGGCGTGCGGCGATCGACCGTGCGGTATTTTTCGAGCGCACCCCGATCGGGGCGTGTGGTCATTATTGAGTAGGATAGACTTATGAGTTACTCGTAGGGAACTTTATGAGTTACTCGTAGGGGACTTTCATCCAGGTGACATTAATTTAATATTTCGCGTATCTACACCGAACCAGTATGATGGGTTTCTAGGGTAGGCCTTTACCCAAGCAGTCAGGACATTAATCGGCTAACAACGATTTAAATTTTAACTGATTCCCAGTAACCATCGAAAACTTTAACCACTACTACTAGGAAAACCGGTAAGGTTCATCAGACTCATAAGATCATTTCCATTAATTTTATTTACATCAAATCTATCATCACGACCTTTATTAAGACAAGATTCGTGCCAGGAATGAGAATAAACATGACAAAATATGCAAATCAGATCACGTGTTAATGTCATGACAAGAAAAACTAATTAGTAATTAATTATAGGTAACGATTTAGTGATAAAGGACCAGTACTAGTTGGTAGTTCATAATTTTTCTAAGATAAATAACGTAAAAATAGTAGTCAATGTAGAAGTACTAACACATTGGCCCAGATTCTAACATGATTATTTAAATCTAAAATCAAATATGACAGTGCAGTGTACCTTTGTCATACTATATACCAAATGTAAAGGAGAAACTCTGGTGTCAAATTATTTTTTGGTTTATAGAATCATGACAGAATTAGCTCCATTCATTATCTAGGGTCATTATAGCTTCCTAAAATACTATGGTATGGCAAAATACAGCATCTTAGTATATGAAGTAATTATTTTTCAGCACTCCTACTTATTTAATATAAATACGTTTTTCAGGAATGTGTTGGTTAAACATTTTTTATATTGATTTTTCAATTGAAAAATTCAATAATTTCACGTGTCGACGTAAACATTTGGTATATCATCTTCCTTAATTGCTAATAGAGTGACTGCTTCTTTGGCTAATTGCTCGTTTTCGTAAGCAACGTTTTCTGATACCAGATTTCTGTCTGTGATAATGTGGGGGTGTTTCTTATCATCGATGATGTTGATGACTTCGTATGTAGGCCTCAAGAAACGGTAGAATCCAACAATACCGATGGTAAAACCGATGACGAAGAGTAAAACTTCAATGGTGATGATGAGAGGGGGACCGATAACAAGACGCAGCCGGAGCAAGCTTAAAATTTCTGGTGGAGGTTCTTTGCAGTACTGAAAGGTAACAATCAAAATTATAATCATACCAATCTGACGGTCTTAACTATTTAATGCTTATATTATATAATGGGGTTAAATAAATATTGATTCTGTTGCAGAATCTTTTGTCATTTGTAATGGCAGGCTTTGCAGCTTGGGTATCTAATCATTTTATTAATGAAATTTCATATCTTTTTCTGTTATATCTTTATTGTTAGTATTATTTATATTTATGTTATTTTGTTTACTATAGCGCCTAACACGCCCTCAAACAGGCCCTGCCAGAATACCAGCGCTGATACAGTGAGAGAATATTTTCTCATTGTATCAGCATAAGCTGAGGCAGGGTCCTGATTGGCCGTTTTAAATCTAATGATTAATTTTTGTTCTTAGGTTAAGTTTCTTTTTTATATTTTTTTTTCCTCTGTTTCTTATACTAGATGGCCAATAAAGCATTTTCATTTCATTTCATATATAGATTTCAGGGATTGTGCACTAAGTATGAATTTCAAAATTATGTAATTCGTGGATTGAGTTGATACAATGCCGCTTTGATTATATAGTACGCGTTTAGTAGGGTTGCAAGAATAATATATTTATATTTTAATATATCAAAACTAATATGTTTCATGACATAATGGACAATTCAACTAAACAGAATACGATGCATCAACGTGCAACGATTTTAGGAATATTTTTCCAAAATCCTAGGCATTGGCAAGCAGAAGGTACTTTATTCAAGAATAGCTGTATTTTAAGGTTCCAAATAAAACCCAACTCACCAATGAAAGCCAAAGCATAGGGACTATCTTATCCTTCAAGGGTTTCGTTATCGGGTTCCCTGCTGACATCCTTACTGCGAGGTTCACCTGCATCTTGGAAGATAATGCCAAAGGCACTCCTATGGTCTAAAGAAAAACAAACAAATTATTGTACACCACCCACAAAGCACTTTATGTATGATTATCTAATAAGCTTAAGAAACCTAATGCTTTAACAAAATGTGTCCTTAATAATTCAAACTTGAAGAAAAATTCAACGTTTTCTAATATTCACAAGTGAAGAATGTTATCAAATTGACCGAAGATATTAAAATAACTTAAATATATAAATAAAAAATCTATAAAACAAACTAAAAAGACTCTTTAATTAGAATTTTCATAAAACGATAGAATAAAAAAGGATTCTACTTTAGATATAATATAATTAAAATAGGTGATCAGTTGGATTCTTTCTAATTATTCATTACTTTTGTAAAGTAAACTTGTTTTAAATTTAAGTTTAAAAGTACAGATACTTGCAGATTAGCAAAACATAGTGGTAGATTGATGTTGCCCAATATGTGTACTCAATATTACAACAAAAACAGCTATCTATAATAAGTTATCATGCTTGATAAAGGAGCTTAGTTTATCTATATTTAAAAGAAAGCTTAAAATGTGGCTGATAACGAAATGTTTTTACTCACAGCATATTTAAAAACCAATAATTGACTTACAATAGAATAAATAAATTTTACACAAATTTTACAATTAAATTAAATAGACATTCGTCGTCATTGTTGTCAAAATGACGCTATATCAACACTACCACCAAAATGGATCTATTCTGTTATGTGTGAATAAATAAATTTCATTTCATTTAGTATTCAACGATTCATTACTCACAGGTTCAACATCAAGAATGGACGAGTGCTTCTTGGGGTCCGGGTTCATGCCCTGGTAGTAACTTTGCTGCTGGGGGTCAGCATCCATGAAGTGAGGTTTTGACAAAGTAATAGGAAACCCTGTAAAATACGATGTTTCTTATTTATTTATATATTTTGCACACACAAATTTAGATGCAAAAGTTACATAACTAAAGATACATGTGCACATAAGGGCACATAATATCATTTGAATCTAAAATCTTCTAGCAGGCTCATAGTAAAACAACGTATTGGAAAGGGCAGTCAGCAAGTATACCTGCATAAATGATATATATAATGATAGATATGAAATGAGAGCTACACATAAAAGAAAACAAATGGATACAATAATAAATATATATATGCGACAACATTAAATAAATAAACTAAAATTATTAAATAGATTTTGAATTAATCAAACTTAGAACTAAAGACATCATGAATCGGAATCCGCCATTACATTTAATTTTCATTGAAATGACTAAATAATCAAATCAAAATCAGTAGTGTATGTAACTAAATCACTACATATAGCAGTTGATTCTGAGGCTAATAATCTCATGCATATATCAAAAGTCTGGCATGACATTATCCTATCTAAGTAACTTGGTATTCTAAGTCATGAAATGATAATAATTTGTTTGGTATTAAGAGATATGGGCATTATCATAATACCCTCTATATCTTTTAGTCTCAAACAAAACTACTATATATTCGACTAACAGTAATTATAGCTTATGAGGCACCTTGATCCATATTATATAAAAGCGCATTTGCATTTGGTATTGACAAATGTTTGTGATATTTTAGTAACAAAAAATATCCAGAAACATTTCACTGACAATTTGTAACTTTTATATTTCATGGCGTTTGTTAAAGCTTTACTGACTAATAAGCCAGCAATACTAACGAAACTAATGAGGTTTAGAATTCGCCCAATCTTATAATCTAAATAGTTACCAACAGTTCACATAAGAAGTAAAACATTCGGTCACAAAACTTTGGTATTTGAAAATAAAAAGTTTGGAAACTGTCGTTATATTATGTGTATATTTAGTGGGATGCTCCATCTTATTATCAGACACCTGACACTACACATACTTTCAATTCTACAATATCCAGAAAGTTGAAGAGGTAAACAAGTTTATTTTAATTGACGTACCATAATAGCAATTGGAAATGTCCACAAATCCGTCGGGCAAGCAGTTTTTATTGCAGTTGCACGCGTAACGAGATGAGCTGTTAAACGCCGATGACTCCATCATATACCTTACAACAATAAATATACACATAAATATCTCTGATTCGGTTTTTCTTATATTGCAAATAATAGTAATGTAAGTTTATTTAATATACAGGTTTTTGTACTGGAGGGGCCGTGAAAGAAATGCATCTTTGAAATTATTATAACGCGATTCAAATAAGAATAGGAAAGCCAATGACCTCCATCATCAAATGTCGCTTGAAAAGTACGGTTTGCAAAAAAAATCTTTGAAAACTGTTTTAGCATTCCGCTGATTCTAGAATTAAAACCAAACATTTTAAAACAAACAATAATAACAAATGTTGGTATTTAATATTAGTCGATTTTTTTTTCATTTATTTAGCTTTGGCTATGAACGGTTGATGACCTAAATCGTCAACCAAATGTTACTTTATGTTGCGTTCAAAAACTCGATTTAAAACTTTCGTTTATATATAGGATGCATGTTCGTATGTGACCTGCATGATTATTCATAACTTCTCCGGCGGTAATGCAGAATTGAGCGATATTGAAGAGCTAGATTCTGATTAATGTTTTTTTTCACACAGTTTTAATAAGTAAATATGTACTATTAAAAATCGGTTGTGTTCTTTCTCAACCTTAGTAAATTAATTTTATTAACAAATCTGATGTTTTGTCTCACTTAATATTAGTAAATAAGTTTCATCAAATAGCAACATTTTTTGCTCACTCTACCTATTTGGTTTGAATTGACAGCTATGACCTCAAAATATGGCGTCGCGTCGGTCCTATTCTAAACTAAATTCAGGTTTATATTTAAGAATAATCTGTACAGCAAGTATAAAGGTATTCATCATTAGCAAAAAATCTAAATGAAACGGCCGATAAATTCTCTTTCTACACAAAGAAAACTAGATATTCCTCTAGAAACACATTAACAGTTAAACAGTTCAAAGTGTCTCTTCTTTATCATCTGTCTGATTATAATTGTTGTTCAGAAATTTTGTAAAACCGTTATAACAAATTTAAAAGATTTCCTCACCTATAATATTCGAAACCGTATTTATCATCCACCACTTCTTGATATGAGAAAGGTATGATTCTACAAGCTTGTCTCCTGTGTATTGGTATGGTGGTGTTCTTCTTCAGGTGACTCTTCATCATAATACCTTCGTATGTTCCACGGGCACGGTTGCAAGGAATACTGTGAATTTTTTTAGAAATATTAACGTGGATTCTATATGGTCAAGCTGAAATTTTTTAAACACCGCTTTCAGCGATCTTAATAATTTTGAAAATTTGATTAAGGATGATGCTGTTACTTTCTCTTCGTTAGCAATAGTGTAAAACAATGTGTCACATTGACAAGTATTAAATCTAATTGACGTATCTGAGTGCAACCATGGGCCATAATATAATTAACTAAGCGGTACTCGAGTTTGGATTAATCCAACATGGGATTGGATATGACAGGGGAGGAATGTTAATCCAACAGATTGTGGTCGTCATTAAGAAATGCACTGGTATCACTTTAAAGTTAATGTTAGGTTGTAATATATCAAAAATATTTTGAGGTTATTTATTGTAAACATCATCTACACAATTGTTTATAGCAAACGTAAAAAAATCTGTTACCTGCACGTTTTTACAATTGTTCTAAACAACAATTAATGAGCTAGCTAATTTTTGAATTAAAAAACTAAATTTATGAATTGATTGTAAGGGTTATTGCATCATCATCATCATCATTTGTCGTTACTGGACATAGGCCTCTCTAATTGCACGCCACTCAGATCGATCTTGGGCTACTAAATACTATTACATCCCTTACAATAAATTTATCAGCTAGCTCATTTCTTACATGATAAACTTCACAGTTATTAGTCATCGGTACACTCTATAGCAAAATTTAAAATACTTTTCAAAACAGCCCAAAAAACCAAAAATACTTTTTTGACTTATTTATCCTACCTCGTGTTTAGATCTTTGAAGCCTTGTTCAACGATGCCCGGCGAGTCATTCCAATTGATGATCGAAAACCGGGTCTCTTCATCCGCAATTTCCACCTCTACTGTTTCTTCTTTAGACGCGTAAAACTGTTAACACGAAAAAAAAATCGTAAATCAACAAGAGTGAAATTTACGACCCGACTTGTTTTGCATAAATACCAGAGATACAAATCTTTATGATAAAGACATTAAAATTTATAAAGAAAAAACATTTAGGCTCCACGTCAATGAATGTCACACTTTTCCAAATTTTGCATTTATTAACTCTTAGTCGTGATCCGAAAATAAAAGAAATTGATTTAGTACCAGTCATTTTAATACGTAAGTCAGTTAGGCATTTTATGAGGTCTAACGGAAACCAATATTAAAGAGCAATAAGAATTATCAAAGTCGTAGACTATAAATTACTTATAAGTGAGGATAGCGGATTTCCGATCGATCGAATTGGAGCACCCGTCTGGGGAAATAACCCACATCTTACAACAGGCCACAGTACAATGAAACTAACTTATAATGGCGTTGCGTTTTATTCGGTTTGTACTGTTCCAGGACTCTAAGGGATAGGCGATTGGATCAGAGTAGATATCGGCGCAAGTGATATTTTAAATATCGCTATGATGGCTGTTTGCCATCAAGCGGGCAATATGCTTGTTCGCAAACCTTTTAACACATTTAATAATTGTTCTACCAACCCTGTCCAAAATGCCAATCTTCTGGAAGTCGATCCAGGCCGGCAGCAGGCTGCTGGCTATGGTGACGATCGGGTCCTCATAGCCCCACAGCAACTCCTCGACAGTCAAGTTTCTGAACAGTTTGGAGCCAAGAGCGTTGATGGAGTAATAGGCGCCCGCGTTCGCAAAGTAACCCAGCTGGTCAGCTAGCAGTGTGCTGATGGCCTGGAAATCGGTGATTTGATTACTTGTGAATTCTATTCCCGAGATAATTAAACGGATAAACACACAGCAGGTCTCTTACGACGACATTATGGCTACTAACGGGATTGTTACCATGTACCTTGTTTTTTATGAGTCTTCGATATTTCCGATATAAAAAACAAGGTACATGGTAACAATCCCGTTAATAGCTATAATGTTAGTGACCATGAAAGTTTAAAACAATATATCTTACGACGACCTCCGTGCCGAGTGGTTTGTACGCCGGTCCCGGGTTCGAATCCCGGTGGGGGCAGATGTTTGTGTGATGATTACGAGCATTTGTACTCCAGTCATGGATGTTTAATATGTATTTCTATATAAATCACTTATATATGTACAGTATATGTATTCTATCCGTTACCCTAGTATCCCATAACACAAGCCTACAGTGCTTACTTTGGGGCTGGGCTAATTGGTGTGAGTGTTGGAAATATTTATTTATTTATATATGATGTAATTTTACACAATATAATTTTATTATCACGAGTGTCTGCTAGCTATAAGGTGGATTTGTTTGTCATACATTAGTAAAACAGAAAAAATAATAACAAAACTTCAATTCAACATACTTAGTTTTGCTGTATACCAAATAATGCTATCAACCACTATTAACTACTATTTAATAACTTCAATAGATCAATGTACCTTAATTACAAATTCCCGAACCTTCTTTCAGAAAACGCAGTTTACCTTGACCAGACACTTACGCTTTAAATGCATACACCTTAACGCCACCATGCATATTAAAGGTGCCTATAATTTACGCGACAATCTGGCCAATAACCAACCAAATGCCTGTCCTTGTAAAGCAAAAGGTAATTTTATACCGCTTATGTTACAATTGCATATTTTACAGACAGTCACAAATTATCCAAATTCATTTTGTACAGAAGACACGGACGCGAGGTAATCCGTAACTCTCAACTTGTCTGAATTTGATTTGTAATCTACGTCTTCTCCATCTTTAAAAAAATCTTACACCTTGTGGCATCCTTTATTGCGGCATACTCGTAATGGGAATAATAATAGTTTAGGTTGATCGTTAAAAAAAACATCAGTAACACGTCTCTATTATAAGGATTTACAGTGAAGTCAACGAATAGTCTGGGAACTTTACAGTTTACACCAAAAGAATAAACAGATAAGATATTTGTTTCTTAGGTTTTCACGCACATCACTCATTATATAAAACTAGTTTTTAACGGGTTAATGCACGAAACTTTATTTATTTATAGACGTTTCGCAGCTTTTTCAGGTCTGCTTCGACAGAATCAGCATCATCATCAGCCTCTTTATGTCCCCACTGCTGGGGCACAGGCCTTCCCTATGGATGGAATAGGGAGATTGGGCCATGACCCACCACGCGGGCCCAGTGCGGATTGGCGGGTTCTAACGATTGCAGATGCAACCGGGACCAACGGCTTAACGTGCCTTCCGAAGCACGGAGGAACTCGAGATAGAAATTTTTGGTCACCCATCCAATGACCGACCACTGCGAAAGTTGCTTAACTACAACGATCGCAGCCAAACGCACTAACCACCTGCGCCATCGAGCTCCTCTTCTTCTTCTCTTCGTCAGAATATGATTTTTTATTTAATTTTGTCGAGCTACCTTCGAAGGTATGTTGAAAAGGCTGCGAAACGTCAATAAATAAATAAAGTTTCGTGCATTAACCCGTTAAAACTAGTTTTATTTAAACAGATAAGAATTAGGATTTTAGATGATTTATACCTTTTTCTCTATGGCTTAAATTCCAACGACCTTATTGCAGGATTAAAAACACATACTATAATTAAATTGGAAATTTAACAAACTGCCGACCTAAAATAACTATTCGGGCTTGGTCGAAAAACTTTTTTGTTTAGTATTATCTCTAATCGCATTCGCAGTCTAGACGATGTCTTTGTCTATTACTAAGTTAAGTATAAAAAAGTTAAAGTTTCAAAACTTTTACTTTTTCACGTTATAAAGAATGTTCATTAAATTTTTATTGGATAGACAGATCAGTTATTTAATGTATAAATTTTTCGATTGTTGTCACATTTTTCGTAAATAATAATCTCTTTGTTACCAAACCCATATGTGTTAGTGACGAAGTAACTTTTAATTAGTGGGCCACGCCTGGCATTCATAAAAAGAGCCGGAAACATCTCTTATCTATTAGACAAGTCCGTCCGTCCGTGGTGCTGTTTCAGCGGCCAAACCGTAAGAGATAGATAAAGAGAATGTTTAAGTTATAAGTTGAGAATAGTCTGATAAGACTACAAACCGGATGTGAGTAACGAAGCACTTCCGGTTTTCGAGAAATCACGTGATTTCTATTTCAAACGAAACCACACAAAATCTCCGAAGTTCTCAATTAATTAAGTACATTTTTTTTTTTGGTGAACATTTGGTTCACTGGTTTGCTAGTATGAACTAATAGCAGCCACCCGCGACTTCATCCGCGTCTACTCTAGTTTTTTAGGATCCCCTTAGGAACCTAATATTTTTCAGGGATAATAAGTATCCTATATCTCAATCCAGCCTAATCCATTTTTGCGTGATTTAGTGACAATCATACAATATTATTTTCAGATTTACAATATTATAAGGCTACAATGAACGCAACAACTTAGTGTCGCCGCACACGGGCCACACGCCACAGCCACAAACGCCGCCACGAGAAGCTAGAAGAGGCTACTAAAGCGGCTGAAGCGCGCGACAGCGGCCGGCTAAGGTAAGGAAGAGAGGGGTCGCGAATCGCGCGAGTGACGTGTGGCGGCGTTTTGTATCGGAGCATTAAGTGGCCGGTGCGGACTACGAGAAGCGAGCGACGATTTGTAACGTGTGGCGGCCACCGGCGTACCGTGTGTGGCGAGTCCATATAAAATGTATGAAAACTACACGAAATATACCGGTGGCGGCGTTTTGTGGTTGTAGTTGGTGGCCCGTGTGCGGCTACACTTAAAGAAATGGAAACACAACTGCGCTGCCATAAAAACAAAGTTAACAGTCAAAAACAAATTAATCTAATGTCGCTTAAGAGCCTTTTTGTTAAACCGCAATTTCTACACCATTTTCAAAATCATCTCTACGACTACATGAACCTCCTTTTTCTACTGAAATATCACTCACCAATAAGGCTATATTCGGCACGTAGATATTGACGTCATTGGTGTCAGCTATGGACTGGTTTCTGAGAAACTGCAGTCGGATGTTAGGGATCATTGTCATCACCCCTCGCTCTTTGTCTACTGTGATGTTACTGTTTGTTCGGAACTCCCTGTAACAAATTCCAAAACTACACTTTTGTAAGAGTTATTAGGCTGATTGTCAGTAGATTTAATTTAAAATATTTATTGTTTATTTCAAACATAAAGATTGAACTATAATTACTGTAATTTATAAAAAAATATTTGGTTATGTAGTTTAGAATCTAAATTATTACTTTATGTGTAGAAATTTAAAAATCAAGACTGGCAACACGGTCGTTAGGAGGGGTAGGCCGCACAAAAGGGCGGCCGCAAAAACTAGACGGGTAGTTGATCGAAGTGAATTCAACGAGTGTACTAGATATTAAGTGTGTTGTTGGATTGAACGTGTGGTGAGGCAGTTGTGGAGAATAAACATATGACGGAGTACTGAGCATTTTCTTACACTTCAGAAGTGGTAAGTACCCGATTCTTTTTTTTTTTTCTTCTACAACTAATTAGAAAATCAAAAAGAAAATGTTTAAGGACGGTTTGTTCAAAATCATAAAGCCATTATTACTGATTTCAAAGAAAATTATTTGCTTAAATTGTAAAAACAAGGTGGCCGTGAGCAGGCACAATTGTTGAATTTTATCATTAAAAAAGAAAAGGTGTAACGGTTGATAGTTAAAGTTGTAAAATATATCACTGATATATTGGAAAATCATTCGCCTAAATTTTACGGTCAAGGTTATGATGACCTTGAGCCGGCATGCACAATTTTTGAATGTCAGTTATATTTTACTTTGACTTGAGATACTAGATAGATATACTACACAAATAATTAAAGGAAATAGCATTACAGTAATACAATAGTACAATTTAGATTTATAAGTATATAGACAACCCTTTTGGTTCAGTGGTAGTGAGCGCTGCCTCTGGTCCGAGGGTTGCGGGTTCGACCCCCGCTCGGTACAAACATTTGTGTGCATGATCGTGTCTGTTGTGTTGGTCTGGGTGTTTTCTATGTATTATAAGTATGTGTTATATTACTATGTATTAGGTATATTTATATATGTTATACCACTATGGATCCTGATATCCGTAACACAGGTGCTTGATCTGCCTATCACGGAATCAGATCAATGTTTGTATTGCTGTGAAATATATTATTATTATGTGGTGCATTTTATTAGTTACAAATAAGCTGAAGAGGACAAGGTCATATTAGGTGTCATAATTAAATATCGAGCTATGTAGACTAGGGTCTACGGGGAGGCAAAATGTTTTTCTTTTTACGTAGAGGTCATAGTTTTCGAGATACTTTACAAAACGAAAATAATAAAAATATCAGTTTTATCTGTTTATTGAGCAATCGTTGGAATATATACATAGTTGTCCTTGTTTACAAGTTTCAGGTGCCATGGACAGATCGCAATCTCGTCACTTGCAGACGCCTGTACGCGAGAGGTCATTGGAGCGGCAATCAAAAGAAAATATAAGACAAAGTCGTAGCCGCACCTGTCGTGACAGCGTAAATAGTGGGCCTAGACGAAGTCCTTTAAATGAACAGTGCAACCCCCGCGATTTTGGCAAATTGCGCGAGATGCAGCGGAATATAGACAGCGAGATGGAACAACTGCGGAAATCCCTACTTAATTACGACGGGCAAACACACAATCAAGCCAGACGAAGCCGTAGCCGCATCCGTCGTGAAAGTGTCTCCGGGCAACGCCGAAGCTTAAATGAGGATCACAGCCCGCGTAATACTAATAGGCTGTCGGAGATGCAACGTGAAGTGGATCGAGAGCGAGAACGAGCACGCGATCTCCAATACACGTTTGACAGGGAACGCCGCCGAGTACAACGAACTGTGAGTGATCAACGAGAGTTAGATGATCGTTCTAATCCCTTACATGATGTTACTCCAGTGCGTGAAGTATCCTCGCGTAGACGGGACCGAAGCCCGAGGCGACACGATGATGATCCCGAAAGGCAGAGGCGTCGAGTTGGGAAACGTTCACCTAGTATATCATTTTCTTCCAAAGATGTAGCTAATATAATTAACTCTCTTAAAAATTTACCATCACAGCCGTTGACGTCAAGTGCACTACCATCACATGCGTCTAATGTACATAAAAACATTTTGCCTGATTTCAATCCTTCCTCTAAAGTACAACGAATGGATATCTGGCTAAATAAGGTGAATGAGTGCGCTACCGTCTACGGCTGGGACGATAAAACAACAGTGCATTTCGCTATGCAGAAACTACAGGGTCTGGCCAAGGTTTGGTATGAAAGTTTACCATCAATACTTTATAACTGGACAGAATGGCAAAATAAATTATTAAATGCATTTCCGTGCGAGCAAAACTATGGCCAAACTCTGGAGGACATGCTGAAGCGAAAGAGCCTTCTCAACGAACCGATTGAAGTATATTTTTATGAAAAGTTGGCTCTATTGAACCAATGCAACATTGACGGAAAGCGCGCGGTCGATTGTATCATACACGGTTTGACAGATAAGACACTAAAATCTAGTGCTATAACACTACGGTGTGAGCATCCGAAACAGTTGTTACAGTTCTTGATGAGCAATAAGGGACAAACAATAGCACAATTATCGGATGGGCCACAATATAGATCAAAATTCGATAGAGGTACTTTGAGTAGGAACAGTAATGAGAATAGAATGGATGGCAAATCTAACTTACCGCAAAATAGCACTATATTTTGTTATAATTGTAGGGAAAAGGGGCACCCATTTTTGAAATGTCCTAAACCGCTTATTAAATGTGGGAGATGTTTCAAGGTAGGTCATAATACAGATAATTGTTTTTCAAATAAAAAGGAATCTCAGGATGATGACGGTGATAAGACCGACGTAAGTGACTTAGAAAAGACAGATAATTGAATAGTTAGTTTTAATAATAATAAATGAAATATATTCGTTAAACAAAATAATTAAAGTAGATATTTATGAATTATGTTTAGAATATATTTTTATTACGTTAAATTTAATAGTTCTACATTAGTTATTCATGGCAAAATAAATTCAGTTCTTATTTGTGTTAAATGAACGAATTATGAAATGTACTATCATTACTTATACTTACTTATTTTAGCAGATTGGAAATAATTTTGTAATTTTACATAAAATCGTATAAAACAAATTCTTGATTAGATACCCTTTCAGTAAATGAGTTTTAATGAAGGTACATATTGGTAATTGTTTACATTAAAATGTGTAGTACAGGGCATTAACAAGGCTGTAAGAATGGATGGGTTTACAGTTTTGTTCAGTTTGGTGACCAAAATGGATGGACTGGTTGCCAGACTGGTAAATGTTCTCTACTAATCAACAAGGCTGTAAGAATAGATGGGTTTACAGTTTTGTTCAGTTTGGTGACCAAAATGGATGGACTGGTTGCCAGACTGGTAAATGTTCTCTACTAATCAACAAGGCTGTAAGAATGGATGGGTTTACAGTTTTGTTCAGTTTGGTGACCAAAATGGATGGACTGGTTGCCAGACTGGTAAATGTTCTCTACTAATCTTAATATGAATTATTTAGTTTAGACCAGCTATACTCTAAGTGTGTTCCGCGGAACCCTAGGGTTCCGTGATACCTCTGTCGGGGTTCCGCAAGAATTTAGAAATAAAAAAATCAAAACACCTCTCTCTGGTCGCTCCGCGGCTGTGCGGACTCCGCGGCCGCGCGGAGACAAAACGCTATGAATGTTATTTATTTATTTATTTGTATTTGTATAAGCTTGTGTTACATTAGCTGGTACAATATCTCATAAGTTTGGTCTCAACAATTTTATACTTGTACAACGCGTTCGCTCTAAGTTTGCCGGTCTGTGGAATGCGCGTACCCTCCCCCACGTGACAACAAAACTTATAATGTGTCATAGTTTTACCCAAATATCTAACGTACACAATTTTTATTGTTACAATTAAATAAAAAATTTCGAACGTCATACACTCATACCTATCGCCAGCGGCAAACTTAAAACGAGCGGGTAGTATACTTGTAAGCGCTCAGTCTCTTTGATAAAAGCCGCCTCTGAATTAGACGCTATAGTTGTCAACTAGCGACTTTCGTCTCTAACTTCAAAGGATAAAGTCGATATTGTTTACAACGCTATTTTTAAATTTCTGTTTTTATTTTTGCTTTTTGTTTATCAAAGGTGCCGACTCGAGTATTTTCGAGAATATTTGAGATCGAGTCTAGGACTAAGTATAAAAGCGGCGATCGCGCGTTGGCGTCGTCAGTTGATGATTAGCGTTCGGAGCGATAAGTTACTACCTACTTACAAGCTCGCTAGCGAGAAACTGGTGTTCATTGTTTTACTGCCTGCTGTATTCTGTTGTCTCAGTTTTATACATTTCTTCCCTGTAGGTTCTAAATTTAGTCTCTTATACGCAGTAACGATTGTGCATTATTTAAACCCCACTATCCTGACTTGTAACATTATAAATAAAGAAGAATGGAACGTTGGCTTAAAGGTGTTAAACGTGTTCCAACAACATCTTCTAATGACGCTGAATGTTCAAAAGCAATGCGCGCGGAGAATTTAGCAATCACCGATCCAGAAGATGATGCCACGAGTGCCACGACGTCAAGCTCGACGGTTTCAAAGACGAAAAAAAGGAAGTATGATGAATCTTATATCAGTTTCGGATTTGTTGATTCCAACGGCTCACCTCTCTGCATGCTCTGTAGTAAACTGCTTCCTAATAGTTCCATGGCACCTGCCAAATTGCGTCGACATTTAGAAACCGTACACCCCGAGACTAAAGACAAGAATAAAGAATTTTTTGTTCGCAAAAAAGATCAGTTATTAGAAAGTCAAAAAAATATGATGCATGTAACACAAACTACCAACGAAAAGGCCACGGAGGCATCATACTTAGTTAGCTATCGCATTGCACAAGCAGGTGAAGCGCACACTATCGCTGAGAAATTAATAAAACCATGTGTATTAGACATAACAAAATGTATGCTTGATGAAAAATCTGCAAAGCATCTTTCTACTGTTCCGCTATCAAACGATACTGTTTCACGACGAATCCATGATCTGGCAAGCTACGTCAAACAAGAACTAGTTACACGTCTACAAAATACACGATTCGCTTTGCAAATGGACGAGTCGACTGATGTCGCTGGTTTGGCTATCCTGCTGGTTATTGTGAGATATCCATATAAAAGTTCTTTTGAAGAAGACATGCTTATGTGTTCATCGCTGCTTACAAACACTACCGGGGAAGAAATTTTTAATAAAATAAATATATTTTTTGAAGAACATAATCTCAGTTGGAACAATTGCATTGACATTTGTACAGATGGGGCCAAGGCGATGACAGGTAAAACAGCAGGAGCAGTGTCACGAATGAAAAATAAAGCGCCTAATTGTAGTTCCAGTCATTGTATTCTGCATAGACAAGCACTTGCGATGAAGCAAATGCCGTCTAATCTAAAATTAGTTATGGATGAAGCGGTAAAAATAATTAATTTTATCAAATCACGACCACTACAATCCCGATTGTTCTCATTATTGTGTGAAGATTATGGCAGCAAACATAAAACACTGCTGCTCCATACAGAAGTGCGATGGCTGTCTCGGGGAAAAACTTTAACAAGGCTATTTGAACTTAGAGCCGAGTTACAAATGTTTCTTTCAGCAGATACTTCTTTTAATTTGAAGGACCGTTTGTATGATAAAACTTGGTTGTTCCGATTGTCTTTTATGGCGGATATCTTTCAAAAACTTAACGAATTAAATTTATCATTGCAAGGTAAACAGACAACAGTGTTTCAGGCCTATAATAAAATAACTACTTTTAAAAGAAAATTAGATTTTTGGATCATTTGCATTGGTAAGAAAGAAATAGAAAGTTTTACGTTACTCACTGAGTTTGTTAGCGAAAACGACTCAGAAATGTTTGAAGATAATGTGTTTGAAGAATTGGTCCAATATCTCAGTTCGATGCGCGCATCTTTTGAAAAGTATTTTCCCGAAGAACACAATACAAAAATTAAAGTGAACTCCTGGATTCATAATCCTTTTTTACCCAACTTGGAAAAGCCTGAAAACATGTCAAATGAGATATATGAATCTCTTTTAGAAATGTCATCAGACACAAGTATGGAGTCATTGTTCAAAACGACGCCTCTTAATGATTTTTGGTGCAGAATCCAAGATGAATATGCAATGCTTGGCCAAATGGCTCTGGATATTCTTCTCCCGTTCCCAACTACATATTTGTGCGAAACAGGATTCTCTACCTACGCAGCCACGAAAACAAAATATCGCAATAGACTGGACGCCGAAGCTGATATGAGACTCCAACTTTCTTCCATCAAACCTGATATCAAGCAATTGATGAAAAATAAAAAACAGTTTCATACCTCCCACTAGTTAGATTTTTTCTTTTTTAATGTTTTCTATTATTGTCCTTACCAAGTGGTGAAGTAAATAATAATTAGTAACGGATACATTGTACTTTTATTATGCTGATTAATATAGAATACACTTATAAAAATAATTGTTTTATTGTAGGGTTCCATCAAGTATTTTGCTTCCCAAAAGGGTTCCGTCATTTAAAAAGTTTGAGAACCACTGGTTTAGACTATTTACAAGAATGGATTGGTTTGTAAATTAGTCACATTTTTCATGTTTTATGTTCATGTTTTCTTTTATACGACGAGAATTGATGGATTCGTCACAAATCAGAATATTTACGGAAATGATTTGGTTTATGTAAATACTTATTAGATTTAAGGCTATTGTGCATGAGGACATGCACTTTGTCAGGATGGGCGAATGTAAGAGTTATTAGGCTGATTGTCAGTAGATTTAATTTAAAATATTTATTGTTTATTTCAAACATAAAGATTGAACTATAATTACTGTAATTTATAAAAAAATATTTGGTTATGTAGTTTAGAATCTAAATTATTACTTTATGTGTAGAAATTTAAAAATCAAGACTGGCAACACGGTCGTTAGGAGGGGTAGGCCGCACAAAAGGGCGGCCGCAAAAACTAGACGGGTAGTTGATCGAAGTGAATTCAACGAGTGTACTAGATATTAAGTGTGTTGTTGGATTGAACGTGTGGTGAGGCAGTTGTGGAGAATAAACATATGACGGAGTACTGAGCATTTTCTTACACTTTTAAATATTTGTTTCTTAGGTTTTCACGCACATCACTCATTAAATAAAACTAGTTTTTACGGGTTAATGCACGAAACTTTATTTATTTATTGACGTTTCGCAGCCTTTTCAGGTCTGCATCGTCAGAATAATGATTTTTTATTTAAAATTGTCGAGCTACCTTCGAAAGACTTATATTGAGCGTTCGGTTATTTCATTGGAAGATTTTTAAAATTTTATTGTCTATGTATGAATTTATTATTTAATTTACTTAATAAAGTATTTTATTTAAAATTCTTGTTTGTAATTTTGAGTTTATTTATTTGACCCTAACGACCCTAAATAAATAAATAAAGTTTCGTGCATTAACCCGTAAAAACTAGTTTTATTTACACTTTTAAAGTTTAAATAACACCCTTTTGAGGGGCAGGATTTAGAGGGAGGTGGCTAGTTGGAGTAATGCCGGTATATAATGCCACTGTAGAAATCATAATCTTTAACATATAATATAGAAGGGAGGGATATTGGAACCTGCGGAGCACAAAACGTTTATTCGATTGTCTAAGAGCCCTTTTACAAAATTGCGCCGCTGTCGTACTGATCGGCGCGTAGGTAGATTTGCACTTGTATATATTGCATTTCACGGGTGATGTTTCGAGTCTTATAAAATATTTATTAATGAACAAATTATAAAAATATATACATACTCAGTAGTTCAATGATGGTAGATTAGTTTTATGAAAGTTTTTGATAGTAATTCTATTTAATTCAATATCAAAATACGAGTTAAACCTGCATTATTTTTTGGGAAAACTCACGTAGATTAGATGTTTTTTTTGATAATTAATGAGATGGAAAATCAAAATTCTAATACATTATGTTACAACAAAAATATATTTCTGATGTAGTAGTAATTAATTTGATCTAATTTATTGAACATTATTTAGAGATTGAAGCGTTTGAATTTGTTCATATTATCGATTTTTCCGTAAACTAGCTGCAGTAGAACGATCAGTACAAAAAAAGGAAAATAGTATTTTCAAATATTCTACATTAACTTACAAAAGGAGAAATAAATGTACTGTTTACTTCTATTGGAAATAGTCAAAATCTTTTCTTAGGGGGTAAACGAGGCGCTCAAAAATTTAGATTTTTTGTAAAAAATCTGAAAGGGCTCTTAAAGCTTGATAGTAAGCAATATGTAATAGAATTAAAACTTCTGAGATTCCCAGAGCTTTATAATTTGATGTGCTTTAAAAAACTAGTTCAGTATTTTAATTTTATGAACTCTGCAATCATTTGACATCGACTGTGAGATGTTGTACGGAAATAATACAACAAAAGGTCGCTACAATAAAAAAAAAACTCATAATGTTTGTTATCTGTAACGTATCTTTAATTAAAGCATTGCTGCTTTGAGTATTTGTTTTCAGATAAAACTATGCTTTTTTTTAATGTTTTCCAGCATTATTATCTAGACTTTTGTTTGGTACAACGACACGACACACAAACAGCACTAGACACTTGTGTGTCTTAGTAAGGCTAACCTTAAGGAGATTATAAGAAACCAAAGAGATAGAGATATATTTATCAGGTTCAGTAAAAGTGTAGTGGAAAGAGTAATTGTAAGGAATAAAGATGATTAGCATAGAGATGTACTAATTTATATAATACACTGTAAATACTAGATTTAAGCAGAAAACCAAATGGGCAAAACTATGTAAAGTAGTGGTTAAGAAATATTTGTAAATAACAAATTGTAGCATATAAGAAATGTGTATAAAAACAGAAAATCAGTGTGTGTGAATGGAATAAATTATGAAATGTAAATAGAACAAACAGGAAAGCAAAAGAAATGTATTAGAAATTAAGAAAGTAATTGTAAAAGTATAAAAGAAAAGAAAGATGTGCAAAAGAATAAGCACTTAAAACATGCAAAAGAGCAGGCATGATAAATAAAGATATATGAAAAGTAACAAACAAAACAACAAAGATTAAAAAAGACCTGACACAAATTGGAGATAACCGCTATAAAAAAAACGTATCTTTAATTAAAGCATTGCTGCTTTGAGTATTTGGTTTCAGATTAAACTATGTTTTTTTTAATGTTTTCCAACATTATTATCTAGGCTTTTATTTGGTACAACGGTAGCGATCCTTCCTTCTTTACCAATTGATCCTGCGTTCGAATCAAAGTTTTTTATGCGCAATGGACACAAATTCTTCTTCTAAGCCATAATTGTATAAAGTAACATAAATAATGGTGTCGATTCTGGAATGATTCTCTAAACTTAAAACTATATTTAACACCAGTCTCTCCTTTTCATTCTGTATAGAGAATGACAAGGATACACTGCTGTCAAATTTAAGTTTAGGCTAAGAGAATCATGTCAGATTCCATGCCATTATTTATTATTTATTCTGTTATTTCGGTCTCAATCTCTGTTTCGTTTGTTGAGAGTTCTAAGGAATTTATTAATTTAAACTTACTCGTATAGAAATGGTCCAACTTCTTTTACTTTCAGTACTGTGTCTTCACCATTCAGGTATTCTGGTACGTTCGTGTAATTATACACCCACACCTCAGCGTACAGCTGGTACGGGAGTTTCTCCCAAGTCTTGTATATAAACGATCCTTCTTTCACATCGAGTATCTGATTAAACAAACAAAAATCACAATGAATCCATTTTGTTTTAATATGGCTTAACAGATGACTCTACCTCATCTGATGGCTAGCGGAAGTGACGTGCAGTCATATTTATTTAACAATATCACCGACGACGTTCGTTTATACGCCAGGTTTCATGGTGTCGCCGACTCGAGAGGTCCCGGGTTCGAATCCCGGTAGGGGCAGATGTTTATGTGATGAAGCAGAGAGCATTTGTACTCCAGTCATGGATGTTTAATATGTATTTCTTTATAAATATACTTATATATGTACAGTATATGTATTCTATCCGTTATCCTAGTATCCCATAACAACAAGCCTTACAGTGCTTACTTTGGGGCTAGGCTAATTGGTGTGAGTGTTGCAAATATTTATTTATATTTATCACCAAACTTAAGCCACCATCTTTTACTAGCCTAACATCCTACCATTGTAGGTTCCAAGCCTACAGGATAGTGTAACTTATCTACAGACTCAGGTTTTCTATGTTATCTTTTGTTTGTTGACTATAGCTATATTAAAATGTTATTAGAAAAGTGTAACACCGAAACTCTAAGTGTGAGTTGCACGACACAGCTAGTTAAAGTTAAATTTAAGTATGACTTTAACTTGATATGACCGCTACAAACAGTCAAAGTAATTTGGTGTAACTCACGCTAAGTGGTCAAAATTATCCGAAGGCTGACTGACAGATTTCGTTAAATCCTTAGAAATGTATTTTTTAGGACCAAAAGACTTGAAATAACTTGCTAGACTCGAACCAATAAAAGTAAATAGCTTTACAGAACCGAGAGCTTCCAAAAATGAAAACGATTGAGGTTATAGATGGCTGCATGCTGCATTCGAACGACTTAGGCCCATATTACAGAATAACAACTAAGTCTTGATCTTTACTTGAGTACAGTTAGAAAGGGATATCGCTATGTGATGTATATAGCGACATCCCTTTCTAACTATGCTCAAGACTGGATCAATCACTGAGGATCTTTCTATAATACGGGCCTAAATCCAGCAGATAAGAATGAATTTCTACTGATTTCCTTTAACGCACAACTTTAGGGAAAGGAACATTTCTGTTTGTTTCGTGTCTGCGTGGTGCTAACATTTTCGTTTCTGATTTCCATGACACAAGCTCTTTTGCTACGTGTCTACCTTGGGATCTCGGTTAGTAATGCATGTGGCGTTGACTATACATGTATTTGTTTATTACTTTTTTATACCCTTTTATGCATTGTAAGTTTAACTGCAAGTGTCTTAAATTATATTGCAAACAAGCAAACAATCAATATTTTTTGCTACAATATGCAAACTGCCAACCCAAAGATTGGTAGATAAAAAAAATATAAACGATACTATTCATTTCACGGAGCCGCAATTAACTCTATGACGTAAGTGTCATGAACCAGTTTTCGTCATAGACGGTTATAATTTCAATTTAAATAAAATTTAATTATTATGTACATTACACATGACGTATCGCAAGTTCAAGAACGCACCAAAAGTCGCAACAAATCAAGGTCCAATTAATATTAACATATACGTTTACTTTTCCTTGTGTTCTTTAATTGCCATTTCGACTCATAATGTTGTATACTTGCATCGCAACTGGAATTTTATCTATATTTGACCTTTTTTTTGTGTCTGGAAAATGCCTTACGCATCCTTCAACCACTGGGGGAGCGAGAAGAAGGTATGTGGGACTCCTCCCTGTCTCCTTCAGCCAGCCCTGGAGCTCGCTGATGTTAACAGGGCCCTACCTACGCCCTGAACAGGGCCACTAAATACCAGACAATACTCCTGCACCGTCACCCGACACGCACTATGAAGACCGCGGTCCCCCTGAGCTCGCTGATGTTAACAGGGCCCTACCTACGCCCTGAACAGGGCCACTAAAAACCAGACAATACTCCTGCACCGTCACCCGACACGCACTATGAAGACCGCGGTCCCCCTGAGCTCGCTGATGTTAACAGGGCTCTACCTACGCCCTGAACAGGGCCACTAAAAACCAGACAATACTCTTGCACCGTCACCCGACACGCACTATGAGGACCGCGGTCATCCTAGAGCGTGCCGAGAGGGCGGGTATGGTCGCGGAACCCGTCTCCGAATGGCCGCGCTATATTTGACCTAAATCAATATAATAATCTTTACTAACATAATTAAGCTGTAGAGTATGTTTGGTCGAACGCGCTAATCTCAGGAACTGCTCCGATTTGAAAAATCTTTTTATGTTAGATATAGCTTTTACCGAGGAAGGATAAAGGTTATACAATATCACACTGCGACCAATAGGAGCGGAGCATGGATGAAAAATGTTGCAAACACGCAACAAAATCCATTTCAGAGCTTCCGTTGCGTGTGCTGCACAAACGATTAAAGTTGCACAAAAATTATGTATGACGGAATTGTTGCCCGCTTAAAAGTTCTTAAAATATAAAAGGCCGCGACAGCATGCGTCCATCTTTTAATTTTGATTCAATATAACGTTTTTCGTCAACTTAATGGCGGTGAAATTAGGTACTAATATCGAATTTAAGCTGAACATTGAATTGGCAAATAAAGAGAAACTAGGCGATGGGTTTGAAAGCCAATAAAAGGCATCATTGAAATTTGGCTTTCAGTGTAAATTAACCCGAAGTAACTAAATCTGCTCCCTTTTTAAATTTAACTGCAATTAAACAGAGATAAAATATTATAATTGAAATGTTTTTGGCACAACCTGTCCGTCCATCATTATGCTACTTAAACCGTTTAAAGCACACATTTAAACAAAGTTATTGTAAGGTTATCGTGCGGGTAATTTCATTTCCAGTTTTTAAGATTTATCCGAATCGTCTATCTTGACGTACAAACGTCAAGACTTAGTTGTGTTGATTTACATATTCGGAAAGAAGTTTGTTACATCATCATTTGTAAACTTAATTAATTAAATATAATTAATTAGCAATGAGGAGCTCGATGACGCAGGTGGTTAGCGCGTTCGGCTTGCGATCTTGGAATTCAAGCAACTTTCGCAATGGTCAGTCATTGGATGGGTGACCAAAAACTGATTATTTCGAGCTCCTCCGTGCTTCGAAATGCACGTTAAGGCATTGGTCCCGGCTGCAACTGCACTCACCGTTTGGGGGGTGCAGTTGAGTGTTAGAAATATTTATTTATTATCATCATCATAATCATCAGCCTATTAATCAATCAATCAAAATCAATTATTCAGTTTCGGCTGTTACAAGCATTCATGAATGTCTAGAAACTACGCCATCGGTTCGTAAATCTACGGCGGGAGATCTTGTACTGAGAAGAACCGGCAAGAAACTCAGCAAGGGCTGTTTTTTTCTCCCTGTTTTATTATTTAAAGAGTCGTCAAATTGAAAAATGACTTCAGAGATGATTCATGAAGTCACCTTTCATAACATAATTATGACCCCACTGCTGGCACACAGACCTTCCCTATGGATGGAATAGGGAGATAGGTCCATGACCCACCACGCCATGTAAGTGTGGTGTCAAAAAATAATGCTACTTTGACTGACAAGGTAGTTTTGACATTTTCAATAATACTCTTCAAACCTAAAATGGTAAATGCTTTATGAATATAAAGTATACTCATTCTACGAAAACATTCCACCTCCACCCAAAAAATTATTACGAATGCAATGGATAATTACCATTTTGAGGACTTGCAGTTGTCGATAACAAACCTTGGTTTAGTTTGGCACGCCTAACCTTGCCTTGCCTTCTCGGAAACTTTTGAAAATAATCTAAAAAGTAGTCACCGCACCGGACAGGCGATATTTAACGACTCTGTAAATATACAATCTTAGATAACCAGAGGAGCTCCTGGTGACGTTTGAGGTCAACATTCAAGGCCTCGCTGTGACCACACAAGTCGTAAGTCTAGTACAAGTCTCGTTTCAAAAATCACCATAAAATTCACATTAAGGGCGATTTTGACGTGACAACGTCTTAAATTAGGTTGCGGCTGGGAGTCACTTATGAAAAAGTGTAACGCTCGGTAACGTTACGATGAGTCTCTCGTGTTAAGTTTAAGTTTACATGTACAATGTTTTAGTAAACAAAATATATTTCTATAGTTAAAATTTGTGCAATTCTTATTTTCATTCAATTCCTTGTTCCTATTGTGCAATTTAATTATATTCATATCAATAAATATTCTACCGAGAAAAAGACGTTGTCACGTAAAATCTTCGCCCGTAAAACCGACTTTACAGGCAACCATTTTTTTAAATTAAGATTTACGACGAGGTTTGTTAACGATACCGTCGTTAGTGACGGTACTGTAACGTCCGTGACGTTACAACCTCCTTGTTTAGGTAAACTCTTTGCTTTTGCAATGCCTACGGTTGGCAGTTATATTAAAAAGTTAATGTCATGATTTTAAGATTTGAAATAAGGAATCGTCTGTCTTTTGATAGAAGGTTCCATTCAAGAGTAGATCTTCAGGAACCAAGCAAACCTCTCGTAGTTAGATAAAAATAATTATAATCGCCTTAAATCTAATATAAAATAATAACCATCGTCAAGTTGTTTTAATGAAGAGCCACGTCCCCAGGTTCTATCTATTCTGGCTAGAGCTCCATATGGTGGAGGCGCCGGGTAATGATCCCGGTACCTCTCGCACGCCAGAATGGGATAGAACCTGGGGACGTGGCTTTTCATTAAAACAACTTGACGATGGTTATTATTTTATATTAGATTTCAAGCGATTATAATTATTTTTATCGTGGCTGACACCGGTGTCGTTAAGATTTTTTTCTTATTTTTGTAAGGCACCATAAGGCAAAATTATTGACGATCCCACAGTGTCCCATACATTATTGACGATCGGACGTAAACACGGTTGTTGCGAGTCCGGTGAGGTCGTTCGCTTTATTTGCGTAACTCACTCGATCCGTCGTCGTGCCGCCGTTAATATCGTGCTATGCGGGTTCGTTTTGGTTGGGCCTTGCCTGGAGAGGGATGGC